CTGGCTGTCCCCGAGCCTCTGGTGGCCAGCACCACGCCGCGTGACAGCAGGGCTCAGGTTTCCGTGGGTGAAGGGTCCCTGAGCCCTGTCCTCCTTGTGCACCTCGCACTGTGCACCCTCCCGGGTCAAAGGGAAGTTTGTGCTGTGAGCAGACCTTCAGGGCCTGCCTGCGTGGGCCCCGTGCTGGCTGTGTCCCAGTGGAGCAAGGGACGAGCCCTCCATCGACCTGAGGGACTTGGGGAACATGGAAAGATGGTCCCCATCTAGGAGGAGGCCAACAGTTTGGCACAGGGAGCATCAGGGAGAAATGTGGTCCTTCCAGGTTCTCTTGGTTCCTGTGACTGTGGTTCAGGAATCGTCCCTTCATTAAGTAAAGTTAAAGATGCCAGAGGCCTTAGTGCTCAAGCACTCGATGACTATTCATTTCGGTCCCAATATTACAGGGAGAAGGCAAGCAAGGGCCCATTTGTCCAGGGCCAAACGCTGACTTCGGATGAATATCTTTGGAGGTTAAGAGCAGAGCTGCCCTATACCTTAGTCGTGAGAGGCCTGAGGCCTGGATCCGAGGTTGGGCTCAGTCACACAGAGCTGAGTGACTAACCAGCCACTCCATCCAACTCCCCATCTGCAAAATGGGGACAACAGGCACTCGCAATGCTTTGGGATGATTAGAAACATGCTTACTTGTACAGCGTAGCACAGGTGGCACTTAAGGTGTACCAAACACAGGTGAGCAGTCCTTGTCTTCATTAACATGTGACATTTAAAAGTCCCTGCCAACTAGATTGTACCCTGAAGTTGAAGGAAGACCTGACTAGACGCCCGGGATGGTGTGATCAGTGAGCTCAGCCAGTCCCTGCAGTGCATCATGTTCCCCAAAGCTGAGGGGCCCCCGATGTGGAGCACGGTGGGGAGCTTCTAGGAGGCAGAGAGGGTATCATTATAGCCTGTCCTCCGTGCTATGCAACAGAGGCTCAAAAACTTAAAAGCTGTACAAATAAAGACATGTCCTGGGGTGACTAGACCCCTGCCAGGGCAGAACAGATCTTGCAAATGCTGCGAGCACGTGCGACACCAGGGGTGGCCACAACTGACCAAAGCTCCTTCCAGAGCTGACCGGAGCCTCCCACAAGCTCCATCTTACCAGAGTCAGGGTCTCAAGGTGGCTGTCATCACAGCTGGACAGCTTTCCCGCCACCCTCCCAGCACCCCCTCCTGCTCCGAGGACACAGCCGCATCCTCAGTGGCCTGCAAGCACAGCTGAGAACACCACTGTCCGGTCCCTCTTGCTCTCGCCCCATCTCAGGGTCTCTTGCCTGGGGTAATGTCTGGCCCAGTGGAACAGTACCATGGGAACACTGCTGCAGTCCCAAGAAGCTGGGGAGACAGAGGTGCGACTGGACATCAGATGCAGGCTTGGGTTCTGATCGTCTGGACCCCAGGCAGCTCAGACCTCTCCCACCTCACCCATCCCGCTTGCCTGCTCACGCCTCGGTGCCATTGGGACAGTGGTCCAAGGAAAAGAGAGAAAAAACTCAAATAAAATCAGAAATGAAAGGGGAAACATTGTAACTGATACCAAGAAGTGCAAAAGACTGTAATTATACAACCACAAGTGGGATAATACCCAGGATACATTCCTAGAAGCATATAACCTTCCAAGACTTAATCAGGAGTAAGAAATCTGAAAAGACCATTGAGCAAGGAGATGGAAGCAGCAAAGGGAAATCTCCCAACAAAGACAGCAAGGCCGTGCATGCCCGCCGGGCCTGGCTGCCCGCGGGGACGAGGCATCCGCGATGCCCCGCGAGCCGGCAGCTGGAGGAGAGAAGAGGCTGTGGCTGCCAAGGGGCCTCAGACACATGAGAAGGGCGGCTTTCTAAGAAACAGGGGGCCAAGGACCTGGCCTGGCCTTTCCAGCTAGCGTTCTTCCCGGGAGGTGCCCGCCAGTTACTCGGAAAATGACAAGGCTGCAGGAGAGGGCGGAGCCCGGCTCTTCCTTGTCCTCCGCGGGCGGCCGGGTGCCGTCCCGGCGCGTGTGGGCCACTGCGGGTGGGAAGTGAGTAAGGAACGCAGACAGCAGTATCAGCACGACGGCCAAAAAGTGGGAACACTACATGGTCCATCCACACACTGGAGCGTTACTCAGCCACGAACAGGAGCGACACACCACGGACACGCCACAACATGTGCTCAGTGAGAGACACCAGACACACAAGGCCACCCAGCGTGTGACTCCATGTATGTCAAACGTCCAGGAAAATCCAGACACAGAAAGCAGATTGGTGGGCGCCAGGCACTGGGGGAGGGGGAGTAAAACGTGCACCGGGTTTCTTTGCAGTGATGAAATGTTCTAGAATTAAATAGCTGGTTACATAACTCTGAATATACTAAAAACCACTGAATTGTGCAGTGTAAAAGGGTGAATTTTATGGTGTGTGAATTATATCTCCATAAAAGATAAAAATAAAGAAGGAAACTTTCATCCTCATTCATCTAAAAATACATCTAGAACCGAGTAGTCTGGAAGCAAGTCGCCCGCCAGGCCCCTCGCAGGCTGCAGTGGGTTTGCTGGTGGGAGAGCCAGTCTGACAAGCAGCCAAACAGTTCGTTTCTCAGGGAAAGAAGGGCTTCCAGGAAGCTGGCTCCTCAGAGCAGGACGGGAATCAGAAAGCAGAAGGGAAAGCGTGAAGCAGGCAGCTGAACATGTTGGTGCAGAGAGCAGTGCCGGCCACCCCGCCAGGCCCCGGAAGCCAGTGCTCGTGGTGGCTCCGCATAAGAGCTGAATGTGCTCCTGTCGGCATCGGAACTGACAATACCTAACACAAACATTTAATTTTTATTTCGTTAGATTGACACATTTTTAAAGACACCGTGACAAGTGAAGAGAGAGATGTGGGAGAGGAGAGCTCTGCACCCCGCACCTCCCCGCACATCAGATGAGGCACCACATGGGGCCCCTGGGAGAGTCTAGGAAGGAGAGGCCATGAGTATGGAGGAGGGGGAGGTGGACAGACCCCTGCCAGGCCCTGTGGCCCTGTGACCCTGTGATCCTGCGGCCCTGTGACCCTGTGGCCCTGTGACCCTGTG